GGTAACACCGGATAACAAAGATCGAAAAATAAAACAGCAAAAATGGAATAATTAGCGTAATTGGGACTCGAAAAAAATAGGGATTTTGAAAAATTTGGGTCGGCGGGTAATGCAAAACGAAAAATCAACTTTGCGTGGCCTAATTCATGTCACAATAGATCGTATCTGATTTCCAAAAAAAGAAAAGGTGTAAATTGTATTAGTTATATAATTATATTAAAAAATTACAGTCTAAACGTAATAAATATATGGTCAAATTAACAACTAAAAATTTTGACATAAACATACACAATAGCACACAAATTAACATATTACAAATCAATTCCTCCGAAAAATATCATTTTAACCAATTAAATTATTATCTATATAATTCCTGATAAATTATAAATAAACAAACTTACTGCGCGTAGTCATTTATCAAAGTAATTAGAAAAAAAATTAATTTGTAAACAATTCGATTGTTGTGGCTGAACGCTACACGTGAAATCACGTTTATTTAATTATTCGTAATTTTGATTAGTTGATCACCATCGTTTAGGATCTCTATAAAATGAAATAATTTGAAATTTCTTATCGCTGCGTATCCTTTTTTTCAAAATGATAAGATTGTCAAACGAATGTTTTCTTGAAATATTCAGTTATCTACGATTCAGAAGTTTATTTTCATGCCTTCTTGTAAGTCGTCAATGGTGTAGCTTTATTATACCAATTTTATGGAAAGAACCTTTAGATTTTAAAGACGCAAGAATTATAAAAATTTACCTTTCTTTATTAAATGCTGAAGAACAAGCATCATTAATTCCACTTGATTTAATACTTCCAAATGGTCCAAAACCATTAATTAATTACGCTACTTTTAATGTCTCTTTTGACGAAGGTTGTCTTAGCGAATCAATTATTGCTTGGATTTTTAATGAAGGTCATCCTCGTGATTTAATTGATCATTATGATGATTATGAAGAAGATTATGAATATTATAATCGTGATAATAATAACATTCTTCAAGTGATCAAATGTTCATTGATTTCAATGCTTTTACGAACAAGTGAAAAGCTTAAATCAGTACAAATTTATCGTCATAATTATGCCATATTAAAGAAGATGCTGATAGAGACCCTTTACAAAAGTAAAACTATTAAAGACATTAATCTTAATTCGGCTGATCTTAATCTTGATGAAATAAAAGCATTAGCGAGTGCACTTTCCAAAAACACAACGTTAAACTCTTTAACAATTCGTTTATCAACTGGGTTTGAAAGTGGAAAATTATTAGCAGAGGTCCTTAATGAAAATGTCACTCTTTCATCATTATGTCTTTGTAATAATAATCTTGGCGATGAAAGTGGAAAGGCACTAGCTAATGCTCTTTTTAAAAACTCCTCTCTAACCTCTTTGGATCTTTCTGATAATTACCTCAGTGTTGAAAGTATGAAAGTGTTTGCAGAGGTTCTTTGCAACAACACCTCCTTGACTATATTAAATCTTAGTCATAATCAGCTTGGCGTTGAAGGAGCAAAAGCTATTTCAAGTACTCTTCGTAAAAATACTACAATTACCTCTTTGAATCTTAGTAGTAATAAAATTCTTAGTGAAGGTGCAAAAATATTGGCTGATGCACTTTATAAAAATATCTCTCTGACTCACTTAAATCTTAATGATAATAAAATTGGTTTTGAAGGTTTAAATGCATTAGCGGAGGCCCTTAGCCAAAATTCGACTCTTACCTGTTTGGCTCTTCGATCTAATCGTATTTTCAATAAAGGAGTAAATATATTAGCAAAAGCTCTTTGTAAAAACATTTCACTTACTTTTTTTGATCTTTCTCATAATGTAATCGGTTCGGAAGGTGGAATACGATTGGCAAAAGCTCTTTGTAAAAATACAACACTCATTTCTTTAAATCTTTCTTATAATCGAATTGATTATAAGGCTGGAAAAGCTTTTTCAGAAGCTCTTTGTAAAAACACAACTCTAGCTTCTTTGTACTTTTGTGGTAATTACCTTGGTAGGGGAGGTGGAAAAGCATTGGCTGAGGCTCTTTACAAAAATACTTCGCTTAAAACTTTAATTCTGAACTATAATGGACTTTGCGCCGAAGGAGGGAAAGCATTCGCAGACGCACTTCGTATTAATATTGGCCTTAAGTCTCTAGATCTTTCTAAAAACATGCTTGATCGTAATGCAATAGAGGAATTAGCAAAATCTCTTTGCGAAAATTCAACTCTTACCTCTTTAAAAATTAGTAGTAATTGTCTATATAATTATGAAGGAATAGCATTTGCGTGGGCAATTCAAACAAATTCATCATTAATCTCTTTAGATCTTTCGATTAGTAAACTTGATTATGAACTAATTGTCAAAGCAATTACAAAAGCTTTACACAAGAATGTAACTTTAACTTCCTTAACGTTTCATTATACCGGTAGAGATACCGGAATTGATGAAGATTTCGATTATTTAGATTATTTAAATACGTTTAAATATATTGATGATATGGTGGAAAATATTAAAAAAGAGATTAGTAGAAAAGATATTGATATTAGTTTTGAATATTAATATTATGTTGAAATTATATACAGTGGCAGAAAAATTTGATTATAATAAAATTAGTTATAAAACTTTGTATTTGCTATCAATTTTCTTTTTTCAAAGTAAATATTATATTAATTATGCTAAAGTACAAAGGTATACTACAATTTTGCCTTCTACCACCGTTCAAATTAAAATTTGTAAGATAATATAGTTATGTATTAATTCTGTACTTTGAATATTATCATCGCCTCTATATGCATCTTTTTTTTTTTTTTTCTATTCGAACTAGTCAATTTATATTCATTCGAACGTTAAATTCGAATAGACATTTAACCTTCGCCTTATTAATGTTTTCAATATTATTTTTAATTTGTGAATTTACATCAAGCTGTTCATATTCTCTGAAACCCATTCCTTCTTTCTTTTTCCTCTTCAACTACTTCTATGATGAAATATTCCGACTTCGGCTATAACTCAAATTCCTTTTTTTAATTGATTATTAGTACACTCCGATTAATAAGAAAAGTCGTTTTTTTTTTTTTTTTTTTTTTTTTTTTGTACTGTACCTCGGTTTTTTTTTTCCTTGATTATATACGATATAATAGATATTATAAAAGAGCTTACACGACTGATCGTTAAATCTGAAGCTATCAGTAACTGCTGAATTTTCTTTTCCTCTAGCAAGCATACTCTCGGTTAAATTTTATAAAATTTCTTTGAAGCCTTTCTAACCACATATTGCACAAGGATCCTCCTTTTGACGTCATTTTCCTTTTGCCATCGTTACTAATCATACTAATAACTAAAATGGGATCAACAAAAACTATTAAGGAATCAGCGAAATAACTTTCAACTAAAATTTTGCTTTGCTTTATTATGTGACTTTTAGATATTGTCGGAGGCTAAACCGGTCAACACCAATCAACCAAAAACACAACGACAACGATACCCGAAACGATTGTAGAGGCGGATTCGATTTGGCAAGGTAAGGCTTGTTTCAGGTACGTTGCGCGGGACAGCACTGGACTTCGGTTTATTAAACTTAAGGTAAAGACGATCCTTTTTCTTTATTAATACCATCACTCCCTTTTATTAAAGGTAAACTACAAGACTTTTTATACAAGAAAAATACAGTTGGGGCTTTTACTCAATATTACTAAATTGAGTATCAGGGGGAATCTGCAAGTTACAAATGACCAAATTCCCAATCATTTAAATCCCAGAAGCATCATGCGATTTTCAACAAAGCTTCGCCTTGAGCCAAACCCAAGATAGCATTTGATTAATGCTTCTGTCATATGCCGAATGGGGGTCTTGGGCTTGAGGCTTAGCTTGGTTCGGACATAAGATTCGGAGCTCACATTTCTCCCCCAGTTAAGTTGTGTGCTCACGCATCGACTGTTTCTGGTTGCGCTTGGGATTCAGTTTCAGTAATTCGTTGGAGTTCATATAATTTTAGCTTCTGAATATCCCCAAACGCTAGTCTCCGAGTACGATATATTTGATCTGGTCCATATTTTAAGAATATATCTATATTCTGATCTATGTGGTGCGGTAATGTCGTTTTACCATATCTCGGAACTGGTGTCGCTGCTGCTGTGTACCGTTTGCGTAAAGTTGACCTAAGTAGTATCCATAAACGAGAGCATCGACACAGCGTTTTAGTCTTATAGCTCGTAGCAGCTGATTTTCTGCGAGTGTTATGCAGGTGGAAAAGTCATGTGATGAGGCATCATAGGGCAGGAGCAGGTGATTAACAATGAGGGGAAGTGGATTACATAAATCATCCAAAAGTTCAGACAATGTGATCGCCATTGTATTATAAAATTAAGATCTTTAAAATCTTATTGTTTTCTTTCTTAATTTTCGCCCTTTTTATTTCTTTAAACTTGGACTTGTCTTTGCAAATTTTCTTTTTGTTACGATAAAAATTTTTTTTTATTTTTTTTATTTTTATTTTTATTTTTTATATTACATTATGTAATAATTTATATAATAAAAGATTAGTGTTAGTAGATAATCCCAAGAGGCATAATCACCAAAGGAAATATTATCAAGACACTCACCTACGAACCCAAACCATCGCCCAAATCTAAACGCCCTCGTTGACTAAGCTATTCGTAGGTTACGCAAGGTTGCCCATAGTCAAGCGACTGACTCGCCGTATTTCCCCGGTGGCATTTTTGGTGGTGACTGAGTTTCGATACGTCCCTACCCCCCCCCCCCCGATTCAAGAAATTACGTTAATATAGAAAGAAAACAGAAACTAAAAGAAACTTACCTAAATAGAAAAGTTATATAATAAAGACACCCTGGAAAGGATTTTTGCCCAGTTTAGCCCAGCCACGATGAACTCTAATCAGCTCAGAGAATTGATAGAAAACATGACCAAATCCTTTGAAGATGCGGCTAAAGGCATAGCCCAAGGAAATGGGTCCGGTTCCAAAGAAAGTAACCATGTCAAAGTCCGAAGTTACTATGGTAGTGACGAGGAGGACCCGATAGAATGGTTTGACGATTTTGAAAGGGCCGCTGAAGCTAACAATTGGCCAGACCAACGTAGGCTAAAAATCGCCTCCGGATATTTGAGAGGACTGGCCGCTGAATGGTTTAAAGATAACAAAACCAACATAAACCATTGGAAAAATGATACTTAAAGGGACCAAAGTTTTTACCATTTATTGGTCTCCTTTTTTGCCACGCCCGAAAAACAGCATAAGTGGCATATCGAACTAAACACTCTCACTCAACAAGAAGGAGAAAAGGTGGACTCCTACGCAACTAAATTCAAGAAACTACTAAGCCGAGTGGTCCCTACCTGCAGCCTATGTTGTAAGGATGTTTTTAAGTGGCCTAAAAGGAAGGACAGCCACTTTTGTTTCGTTAACATCCCTCACCACCCTAACCGAAACCATTACCGCCGCCAGAAAAGTAGAAGCCGGTGATTATTATAGTAATAATCATAATAAGACCAACCAAGCATGTTATCAGAAAGATCCAAGGACTTAAGGCCAACGTTAACACAAAGTGCGTCTGCGAATGCTTTCCCTCCTTCAGCGCAAAGTCTATTATTGTGAAGATCTAAAGAGCTAAGCGAAGTATTTTTGCAAAGAGCCTTAGCCAATATTTTTCCTCCTTCACTACCAATTCGATTATTGGAAATATTTAAAGAAGTGAGTGTTGTATTTTTACAAAGAGTTTCTGCCAATAGCATTCCTCCTTCCGAACCGATTTTATTGCTAGAAATATCTAAAGAAGTAAGAGAAGTGTTTTTACAAAGAGCTTCTGCTAATATCATTGCTCCTTTATTGCAAATCTGATTATAATAAAGATCTAAACA